TATATGCCGAGAGGAATGATGCCTTCGTGCAGGATTTTCTGAGGAAAAGTGAATCGTGTCGCCGTTACACATGGGGAAAAACAACGAGAACGCCAACACAGCTATCCCATTTGCCTGGAATCGAGCCTAGGTCGAACTACCAGCGTTCAGTGTCTTTATCGCTAGCCGCTGTTAGGCGACGAGCTTCCACAGAACCCTTTGAAGCTCTGGTGTTCGTCATCTTAGCATTTTAGTAATAAATTTTGATGACGCAGTTTCTTAAAGACATATTTAATCATGTTCATTCCTTCTTTGGTCATCTTTTGGACTTATTCTTTTGTTGCAGTTTGTTAAAATTTGCACTAACAGCTGAGGATGACAAGACACTAACCATGCATCATCTGCTTTGCATTTGAGTATCGATGGAATGTTTCAGTTCTTAAACTCTGTATACATTTCAGATTATTGGCATTGCTGCGAAACGCAATCCTATGGAATTTTGCAGTTTTAGCAGTAATGGCATTAGTTTATTTTCAACCATTTCTCTCTAACCCTAGAGTCGATATGCTTATTAAATGTACTGGATACATTCATATTTAATTATATCTATTTTCTAAACTACTTTTGTTATTTCAAACCTTGCTGAAAGTATAATTTCAAAAAGTGGGTCTTTTAAGTTAGTGTCCGACAGACTTCTAGCTCCTTTTCTGGGACTCACACTCACTTTTAATTCTTCTAACTTAAAAAAAAATCATCAATATCGTCTTTTCTAATTAGCACAGAAATTGAAATAAACATGTTTTGTAAAGGTAAAAATGTGCTCTCTCAAATAAAGTAATGAAATTAAATGCGATTTTCCATCGAATTTGGCCATTTCAATGCATATAGATGGATACCTTAAACGTATTTTAATATACTTCCCTTACTTATCTGTATTATTATAAAAATGATCAAAAACGTAAATTATTAAAAAAAGGTGCTAGAATTATTTTTAACCTCTTAGTTTCTTACAGGTTAATCAGATTTGGAAGAGCCTACCAGCGGCCGAGGCGGTATAGTCGCTGAACCCTTATAGTTCGGTTCGGGCTGGCTGCATGAGTGTTTTCGTTGTTTTCTCCATGTGTAATACCAGCCAGTTTGCCTTAGAAACTCCTCCACGAAGGCATCCCTCTCCATAGGCAGATTGCCGCCGAGGCTTTGCTGTAATCACTTAAACCAAACCAAACCAGATTTGAAAGATAAATTGAACATAATATGTTTTGCTGAATGGCACTATTCTGAAAACTTATTCAAGTTGTTCATCGTAGTGGATTTAACGTATCATTTAAATACAGGAAACGCTAAAAATATTTACTTTCGGAATATTAAGTGAACTTTTATCATTGAATGTTTGAAAGTTCTCTGTGCTTCAGTGCATTTTTGAATCATTTGATGTAACATCCAATGTGAAATTCACGGGTAAACGCTGATAATTTGATCAGTGTATCTGCGAATGGGTTGGCTGCTTGAGGATTTCAAGCAAGATTATGTGCAAGGTAAATACGAGACAGATTTCCATAGAAAATTCTCCGTGAAGGCATTTATCCTCCTTATGTGTATTCCTTGCATTAGAACATCTAGATACATTGGAATTATTATCTGAAAGTATAATTAGAATTTTTGCTAAAGCACCGAGGCGTAATTCTGTTCCATTTATTCTCAAGAAAACTTGATACGAGTGACTTAAAAACAATAGAAAGAGAAAAATGAATTGCTTACAAAATATATTACACTTAAAAAATGTCTGAAAACAGCATGTAAGATACAACAAAATCGATAAAGACAAGTTTTGGACCCTTTCCAATGAAAACAGAAAAATTTCATTTAATTCCAAACAATGGTGGGAAGACTAAGGCAGATAATTGACCGCAATGATGAATTGTCTTTTAGGTCTTGGCATCTGTGGTCATTAACGAGTAAAATCTGTTAACAATCCCTGCATTATAAACGACTTAACGGCTCGAAACAACATATATTTCACCCAAACATTTTATGTCTGAGTGCTACAGAAGGCTATGTTTGTATAAGTTACGCAATAAATCTTACTACAGAACAATCCCATGCAATTCCTGCCAATAATAATATTTCTGCACAAGAAAGTGTATTTTACTGATGAACTTTTATTAAACGTTTTCGTTAAAATTCGTTATCATTATGGAAAACGGGTAGTTTTTTTTTATGGAAAAGGTAAAAATAAGTTCGTAAATTAAAATTTAATACTGTAAAGGTAATTTATATGTTCATATTCAAAGCAAAACAAAAAAGAAGACTTTATACACAGCGTTCATACTAATAGTTATGGTTTGTACTGTGTTAACTGTTATCATCTATAGCGGCATCTTAGAACTATTTCTGGAGAACAGCGGTATGACTGGTGGCATAAAGGAGGCATGTTGGTGAATGAATAGCCAGAACTCTTATCGACATCTACTTATTTACATTTAGGACATGTATTTCACTAGATTATGAATAATATTTATATACAAACATCATAGACGGGCTAATTAAACGCTATTGATAGTTCGACATGATTCAAACAATACCAAATTCAGATGCTGTCATTCTTAGAAAGTTTACTGTGCAAGAAGGATTCAAAACAGTGTAAATGCTCATTTAAATATTTTGAAAGAATGTTATAAGGTAGCCCACAAGTGAAAGATACGTCTACTTACTATACTGCAGTCGAAATCCGCTATAGCGAACTTTCAAGGGATCGGAAAGTTTAGTTCGCTATCCGATTCAATAGATGAAGAGGATTATTTCCTTAAAACGTGTAAAATGGAAATTATGAATCGCTCTCTAACACACATATATAGACACAAAATTGTGACATCGAGTTTCGACTTTTCACATGGACTTTTCACTGTAGATTTGGATAACTTGTATGCCTCGATAATCCGTATAATGAAAGTATCAGTTGTATGCGTAAGTCATAAGCATGTTATCATTTCTTGCTATGAAACTATTTGAGTATTAATTACTTAGTTTATTTTGCATTTAAATCCTTATTTGAGCCAACTTCAACCAAGAAAAATATAAAGAAATCCTCTTGCTATATTTCTAAAATTTCTAAAAAAAAATTAAAAAAAATATTGTATTTTTATAGTATGCTGTACAATAAATTAACTGTTTTATAAAGACGTGTGGGATTATATTGTATTATTCTGATTATGGAAAAACACGCGAGAGCTATCTGCTTATGGAAAAGGTAAAGGAGTTTTTAACGAAACCTGGCCTATGTTTGCGTTATACATGGAGAAAACTGCGAAAACTATCCTCAGCCAGCACGCTCGCTGAGATTTGAATCCGGTCGAACTACTAGAGTTTCATGATCGTACCGCTCGGCTGTTTAATCGAACTCGTGCATTAAAATCTGGACAATAATTATATTCGGGCTTCATAACCGTTGAGAACATGACTGACAGGCTTAATTAATTTGGAATATTATTAGATTAGTTTGGATTATCGTGATTACCTTAGTATGGCAGAACACAACAGAGCTATTTGTCTTAGGTAGGTAGGTGGGTGACGGAAGACGGGGACGCCTGGTGGCTACCAGGGATAAATAGGCATGTGTCTCTCGCCTTCCACTATCTAGTGACAACAACTCCCTGTGAGGGATGCTGACGACCATAAATGATATTCTAAGGGAAGTTGGGCTTACTTTATACATCAGAAATCTACGAAAATCTTTTGCCGCCAAGTACTTCAACCGTCAGTTTAGATCTCTGGTGAAAACTACCACAGGTGAAAACTTTTGCCATTTGGCCATTTATTAGTTGATCAATTTGGGAAGCAGCATTTGTTTAATTGCATAAATTGACTGAAATGGGTGTTGCAGAAAAGTATTTCTGGGTTTAATAAGTTTAAAGGAATTGTAAACTGTAATTTTTATTCAAGACAGAAATTTCAAATGTAAAGTTTGAGATAATGTTGTATTGTATAAAATCTCGCCCTAGAAAATGTTTGGAATAGATATTGATATTTTCAAAGAAAATCTTAGGCAGAGCCCTGGTGTGCTTTGCCATATTAAAATTACCTAATCATCAAGAAAATTTTGTATACTGAATCTGGCATGATTTGAATAGATTTTTTTTATTCGGTGGCTGGAATTTCAATGTCCGACTGAGCGTATCTTACAACAGGTATTTAGCGCTTTATTGTGTGTGTTGCGTAGTATGTGCATGGTAATATACACATGAGAATCGAATGCGCATCGTAATTTGATATTGCTTCCTACATATTGGGTATTTTACTTAGTTTAATGTATCTTTAATGTATTTTACATACGCTATTTTTGCATATGTATTGCGTAGCATGCATATAGAGTTTTACGGACACCTTAATTTAATATTGCATATATGCATTGTGTATTTATCTAGTTTAAGATCTTTAGGGTATTTTATATAGATATTTATGTAATACTTAATTGTACGTATTACGTAGCATGTGCATTATGTTAGTACGCGTATAGACATTGACGTGCATCATAATGTAATTTAGTACTTTTATATCGTATATTTTATTTAGTTTAACGTCTTATTTAATATAGTTAAGGAATCACATCGTGCATTTCCGTAGTAATGATATATCTAGTGTAGTTCATGTATATATGTTCACCTGTGTATGTTATCCGAGTTGAATTTGCGCTAGCATAGCGCCAGTATTTCTGTCTAGTATCTTCATAGTAACAATTTTGTGTCGCATTTTTATATTATAACCTAGATCTGTTAAATGACTGAGATGCGTTATGCCTTTGTAAGGTCATGTAATTTCGAAGTAGTTTGCAATAAACCCCTTAGGCAACCTCTTGCGGTTCCAAGGAGTGGATATCTCTGGATGAGGAGAGGCGCGGGACAAATATCTGTTTTCCTGTGTTAGCCAGCCACCGTTCTCCGTCACTTGTGATTCTCATTATATTTCTTTAATTTCTGTATCTAGTAAAATAATTAGTAAATTGCATTGTTTTACTCTTCTTCTAGGAAAAGTAAACAGGGGACATAATGAAGCTGTTCTTAAAGATTGTCTTCTTGTTTACCTGTGTGTTCGTCTGTGGCGGTCAGGATGGAATGGATGAACCACCACCGGAAGATGATTATATTCCGCTAACTACTTCAACAGCTGCACCGACACAGCCTCCTCACGTGCCATGTCCAACTAATAAGATGATTACCTATCCATGCACCTGTGAGAAGGATGGCATTGAAGGTCTGACGGTCCATTGTGAAAATGCCAATTTAGCAATGATGGCTCTAGGTTTGGGAAATATTAAGGATAAGCTCATTCATACCCTTTTAATGACAAAGAATTATGTTAGAAAATTAAAGGGTAGCATATTTCATAATGTTACTATTGTAAATTTGGAAGTAAGTTACAATAAAATTGAAGATTTAGAAAGTGAAGTTTTTGAAACTCTTGGAGAGAGCCTTATGTCTCTCAATCTTGAAGGAAACAACTTGAAGACCGTGCCTTTAGCTGCTATCAACAGACTCTCAAAATTGGTTTACTTGAACCTTGCTCATAATAAGTTGACAGTATTACCAGCTAATGCTTTCAATGGTCTTCCAAATGTGAAAGAGCTCAGAGTCGATAATAATATGATCAACAAAATATTCCCTGGAGCTTTTAATAACATTTTGAGATCTCTTGAAAAACTGCATTTACAACATAACAAACTTCAAAAGTTTGAAAGAAATGTATTCAGGCAAATGGCCAAATTGAAGTACTTGGACATTTCTCATAATGATTTCAGTAAATTTGATAAGAGAGACTTCAATGATTTGTCGTTTCTATGGTTTCTGAACGTTTCTAGCAATCACTTAAATGAAATACCAAGATCAGCTTTGGCAAGAAATGCTCAACTGCGAGTACTTAACGCTTCGTACAATAACTTTAAAGAAATAGACGCTTATCTTCTTCGAGGTTTACGTTTGCTAAGAGATTTATATTTAGCTGGGAATCGAATCAAAACTATTGCAAAACGCGCATTGATTACGCCTACTCGTTTGAGGACTTTGGATTTAGCACATAACGTAATGGAGGATATCGGTTATGAAATGTTCAAAGATATGAATTGGTTGGAAAGGCTTGATTTGAGTTATAACAGAATATCGAGAATAGCCAGCTCAAGTTTTCAACGCATGTTTCAAGTTGTCGTCGACTTAAGCCATAATAATATATCGTACATTGGCAAAGGTGCATTTATAGAATTGTCTAATGTGACTGTGTTTGATATGTCATATAATTCTATATCCCAGATACTACCAGAAACGTTCCAAACTAGTGATGTTAATATTCTATTGCTCCATCACAATAATATTACAGAGTTATCGAAAGTATTGATAACAAACTTAACTGGTATCAAAGTATTTAATGTAAGTCACAATAAAATAAACGCTATCGACCGAAAATCATTTTCCACGAAGAAGCTCTACGAACTACATACTATTGATCTCAGCTATAATAATATAACTGAAGTTAGTGGTAATGCATTTGAAAAATTTGGCAGTATACGAAATATTATTCTGCACCATAATAACATTAGAAAGATAGGTTATGGTAGCTTCGGAACATTGTCTACTTTATTAGAATTAGATGTCAGTTACAACAACATAAGTGAAGTAACATCTGGTGGGTTTACGAACTTAGTTTCTGTGCGTACCATTTATGCGCATCATAACAAAATTCAAAATATGTTCATAATACCAATTGCACTGAATGAAGTTTACATCCAACATAACTTAATAAAACGAGTACCGCCAGGAATATTTCCAGCAATGAATTCCTTATTGCATCTGTATTTAGATCATAATAATCTTACTCGTTTAGAAAGAGGATCTTTTAGAGGTTTGTTGACTTTAAGAACTCTTTCCTTAGGTCACAACAATATATCAGAAATACCTTGGGAAGCATTAGAAGACATGTCTGCATTGCAGTATCTCTATTTACATGGAAATAATATTACAAAACTTAATCGGAAAGCATTTGGTAACTTGCCTGTTGTTTTTGAACTTCGTTTAGATCACAATAAAATACACAATATCAGCGTAAGCGCATTTGAAGGTATGCTGCAACTTATAATGTTGAACATGAGTTATAATAATATTACTTTTATTCCTCCATCCACGTTTAAAGGTTTGGTATCATTGCGGTTACTTGATGTATCTCACAACAAGATATCTTCTCTTGAAAATAAAACTCATGGTGTACTCGAAGACTTGCTGTCTTTGAATACTTTCAATGCGTCTCATAACCATTTATCTTTCATTTCAGACAGATCGTTTCCTAAATCTCCATACATTCCGTACAGAATAAGACACGTAGATCTAAGTAATAACTTTATTCCGATCATCACTAACACATTTGATGACGGAATGACGCATGTTGAAGTTCTGAAACTTCAGAATAACATACTGAATGAAATTCGCCCAGGTGTCTTGGGGAATTTGACTTTACTCCACCATCTTGATTTATCTGGGAATCAGCTCCAGAAGCTTGGCAAAGGAACATTTGGAACATTGGAGGACATGGAAGAGTTGATACTGAGTAAAAACAGATTAGGATCTATAGATATAGATGAAATTCTAGCTATGAAAAAATTGGAGTTATTAGATCTCAGCGAAAATCGTTTCACAGCGTTCTATGAGGAACTGATTCCTATTATGAAAGAAAATTTTACAGTTTTGTTTAAGGGTAAGTGTTATTTTTAAAATTTAATATCGTGCTGCTACGTATATTTAAAAACTTTCGTCAGTGTTTAATTGCATGATTAATTGGTTACTGAGTTAAGAGATCCTAAGTGAAGGTATTTGTGAAGCAGAGTAGCTTGTATTAAAAAAAAAAAAAAAAAAAAAAAAACAACTACTTCAAAATTTTCAATACTAATCATACTTTTCCTTTTTCTGTAATTTTTTTTCTTCCACCATAAACTTCACAGTGGATTTTTACTGGAGATCTTCACACTAAAAAACAGTTTTTACAGCGTTTTCAAACTCATTATACAAACTGTTTCAAGTATTTGTTTTAGAACTACTGCTATGGATGGGGTTTTCCATTTCTTCTGAATAAACCCTATTTCTGCATAAACATAGTTTAACTGTATATTATCTGGAATATTATTATAAGAGCGCAGCCCCGATCCTCCTAGCTGGCACAAGCCGGCCGTATGATAAAAAATGGTACTGGCCAGAACAAAAGTCCAAAATCTGAGTCTTGGTGACGAATTTCAGTTCTATCTTTGTATTTATAGTCTTCATTATTGTCTCTCTAAAATCTTTTAAATTTGAATAGTTTCTTTTAAAATCTTCCTTAAAATTCTTTCTATATTTCTGAAATTATAATAATATTATAATCTGCAATTATTCTGAAATATATTATCATTCTTAATTCATGCACTAAAAGTAAACTGCTAAATCGGCAAACAAATACGTATACATCCTTTATCTTCTGTTCTCCACCGAGTCCTTCCGAAACAGAAAAGTAATGTAAATAAAAACCTGATTTTATATGAGGTATGTTTAAGTTTTTTTAATGCTGATTCAGTTTGCGTAACTAACGAACGTTTTCTCCAGATTAAGTGCTTAAAAACATTGCTAAATTGTTAATAGTACTTTTCTGTTAATTATAAGTTATTCCTGTTAACTGTAATCTATTAATTTTATAAACCTGATTTTGGGTTAACGTGGACGTCATCTTTGCTATTGCCCCGGTTAATTGGAAGTCTGTAATTTGTATGAAATTCAGATAATCCTTGGGTGCTTGCCGTATAAAATAAGCAATGCAAGCATTGTCTAGAAATCGGTTTCGGCCATTAAACAAGTTAGCTATCATGAGAAACGACTGCTTTGCTGACTGCGATTAATATTTCCCCCAAATTATCCTCCAAGAAGGTATCTCAAAGCAGAACGTTTTCGTTTGTTACATTGTAACCAAGCAGCCTACTTAAGAATGTAAGTTTATTTTCGAAAATAGAGATTTTTAAATTATCACCTTTTAGCTGCTTTAAAAATACACTGGTAAATTAAAAAAATAAAATAAAAAAGTTGTACATTTAATATAGTAAATGATAATAGATGTAGTTTCAAATTTAATACTATGGTGTTATGCTATCTTATCTTGAAGCTAACGAAAGAGACGTGGGGGGGGGAACAGCTAAGAATTTCTTTCATGGTCCTTATTCATTTTATTCTATATGTATCTCTTAATGTCTAATTTTTTTCAGTTTCTCAGAACTTTGAACAATTTTTTTTGTCATTTAAAATATATCTCTTAAAAGTCTCGGCGATCCTTTTGTAGCCGAATGGATTAGACTGCTGAACACTAGTAGTTCGAGTAGGACTCGAATCCCGTTTGACTAAATGGGCATTTTCACCATCTAGCACATGAATACCAGCTGATTTCTTTCTTTAAAGCCAGAAAGAATTCCACTCACTCAACAGGTATTTCTTATGTGCTTTGTCATGTTCCATTAAACAAAATAAAGTGTTTCAGTTTTCAGTCTTAACCACCGGGACAACTTATCTGGTTAAACGACCTTCTCTGACTTATCATCTAACCGAGATTTCTTCGAGACTTACAGTACTTCGTTGTGTAGATCATCTTTCGTTGCCTACTATGCTAACCTTAATCTCATGAGGATGCGTTTCTTCCCATATTTTCGATACCCCACTCTAATTTAGTGCATTTCATTTCCTTTTAATAGTAATATCCTTTTAATAGTTTCCTCCTCATAAAGTTTATTCGTTTACTCCTTATAAAGTGTCATTCAAAGTATCTTAAAAATTTTGCAACCTAGCTCGGAATAAAAGAAAACCGCTATAAAAACTACCGGGTGTGTGCTAAACATGAAGGAATATCGCAAATAAAAAAAAATGTAACAATCATAAGGTTACTAGCCATAAAATATGCTTAAATCTAAAGAGAAAATGTTCAAAGTTCTTTCAGTCGGCTCAAAGTTTCTTCAGATCAATGCACATGGATTTGTGAAGGTATTAAAAAATGACAAGTCTCTTACTACACGTGGTGGGCTTGCCAGCGGACAGGGAACAAAACCACTGAACTTGGTATTTCGATCCGGTTCGTGTATTGTTGAAGTATAACGTGAATGCGAGTCAGTTTCCCTTAGAACATTTTTCACGATGATATTCCTTTACTTAGGCCCTCCTATGCCTTGCCATATTCAAGTAGCGCAACCTAATTAAGTGCCGATAAAAGTACTGGTTGCATAGGAATTATGTGAGGTTTTCCCTTTTTAACGTGAATGCGAAGTAGTTTTACTTTAAACAGCCCTCCATAAAGGTATACCGCCTCTTAAGCAGATAGCTTTTCCGCGCTCTGCACGGCGACATGCTGCAATTCAAGCTCTCCGTACAACCAAGGACTTCTGTGACGAAAAAAAGAGGAAAGCTTTTCTATCCCTCAACAATAAAGCCTCGGGCGATAATGGCTGTCACTGTCCAATGAAATCCCTGCTAAAGTATATTCTCTAGCGCATGTGTATGTGGCTACATGTTCTAATATAACAAAAATTGTCTTTATATTCCGGCCTATCGTTAGAGTAATAACATTCTAAACTTCTTGTAAAATTGAATGTGATGGGTAGGTGAGCTCTCTAAAATTAAAATTTAACATTTTCATAATATCCCAGCAGAATCCCCAAAATTCCGAATAATATAAGAATGATTACAGTTCTGTGAGGTATATAAGTGCGAACTGACTAAGCTCATTTTCTCAAGCTGATTCCTGTCGCTGATTCCCTGTTGCAGTTTAAGATATTTTGGGCAAATTTAGGAAGCAGCTGTGAAACAGTAGTTGCTGTTTTGAAGATATTGTTTGGATTATAGTAAAACAACGTACGATATTAATATACAGCTAGCTCTTGAAAGTGTTTATTAAATATATGTCTTCTTCTTTCGAAATAAAGTGTTGAATTACTTGTATTTAAATTATTAAAGCAGCATAAATATTTTACCTAAGCGTTTGTTTGCGAGAATCACACAGAAGATTAGATTTGTGTTTACCGAACGTTTCTCAAAAATATTTCTTCCAACTCTATACTTTATTCGAAGCAACTATGTAATAGGAAGTGTACTATATTTACTATCACTACTTATAAAAATAAAGCTAAAGCCGACTTTATTGAAAGCATTGAAGTCAACTAGCGGCTGAGACGATATGAGGGCTGAAGGTCAATAGCTCGTTCCTTATTCCGTTTACAGGAATTGAGCTGGCTACATGGGATGTTTGGAGTTATTTTGTATATTGTGAATTCCTTTAAAAATTTTCCACAAAAATATTTTTCGTAAGTCAGATAATTCTCGCACGTCTTCCACAATTAATTAAAGCAACGACTTTGTAAAGTATTTTCTTCTTCCTTAGCACTTATTCCCCATGTGTAACGTATATACGAGCCAGTTCCCCTTAGAAAGTCCTCCACGAAGGCATCCCTCCTTTTAGGCAGATAGCCCTCGTGTGCTTTGCCATAATTAAAATAATCCAATCCAATCCAATCCTTAGCACTTACCTTCGTGTTGTAAATTGATATGTTTGGCTAGCTGTTGTGAGGTCTGGTGTTCGAATCCTATCGAGGGCCTTGCACATTTTTCACGCTTCCTGCATCAATAAGTTTAATGACTCTACAACTATATGTTCTTGTTTAATTCTAATTGTATCGCAAATTTATATAAAATATCCGGCATCTTTTGCTTTTATTGTAACTTTTGAACTTTCTTTTTATGATGTTCGAAAGCTTTTTATCTTTCATAATACTTTTTTAGGTGCAAAGGTTTTCCTTTAAATGCTACCTTGTCACATCGAATATAAATAACTTTTAAAGTAATGATGCAGTCGTTGTGAAGGCATCGTAAAATTCCAAAAAAGATGTAAGAAACTCATTAATGTTTTGAGTTAATTTTCTAAAAGACGTTTTATTCAATTAAAAGAGTTTCTTCCGAGAGTTATAATATTGAGTGTTCGAGAAAGCAAAAAAAGAAAAATATTTTAACGCATTTTCAAGAAACTCAACTAAAAGGTAAATGCCATTAAAAATTCTTAATAGAATGAGCTTGACATAACTAGTATGAGCAGAAGCTACTTCTTCCATTTTGCTTTTCAAAGGCATCTTTTAGCACATTTCATTATCGATTTAAAGTACGAAAATAAGTGCATAATTTGTATCAAACATTTGAACAAAGTATTAGTTTATTTCAAAATACTTTAAAGCGCAAAGTGAACTTTATATGGTTTAGATAGAAAACAAAAATAAGTACAGTATTCATCAATCTTTTATTTTTTGAGTAAAATGAGAGGGGAAAAGCTGAATATTAATTTATAACAAATATTTCATCAGCTCAATCATTTTCAATTTTAGAAATATTTTAAAATTCTAAGTACAAAATCCATTTCGTAGTGCCTGCAAAATATTTCCCCCCTACTATTAACTGTAGATTAACATTACGAGTCTTTTTTTTTTTTTTTTTTTTTTTTAAAGAAAATTGTTAAGTACCTCAGTGAAGAGTCATTTGGTTTATCGACGAAGAAGATGTGAAAGATGCGCAGTTCCCTCGCTGTGATTCGAACTTCAGACCTCCCGATTACGCACTGAAAGTGCTTCCTGTTATAACACGAAGGCATGCAGGAAGGAGGGAGAAAATACCGTATATATGTTCTCTTTTAAAGAGCGACTGGAGATAAGGGGACCCAATCGCCAAATCCTAGTGGTGACGAAGAATTTAGTTCGAGCTGTACTTGTACAGACTCCCCCCCCCCCGAAGTCCGGAAACTAAAGAAACCCACAATGCCCTCATCGGGATTCGAACTGCGGAAATCTAGCTATCACGCGTCAGGCGTACTTCTAGTTTCATTACGGAAGTTTGTTTTGGTTTGGTTCATTTGGTTATGGCAAAGCATTCGAGGGCTATCTACCTGAGGGAGGGATGACTTCGTGGAGAGCTTTCTAAGGGAAACTGGATGATAATATACATGTTACACACGGGGAAAACCATGAAAACGCCCATGCAGCCACCCTCTTCGCCGGGATTCGAACTCCGGACCAAACCACTAGTGTCGACTTTACCGCTAGTGTCGACCACTCGGCTACCTGCTCCGTTTCAATCTAAGCATGAGTGATTCGTGTTTTTGTTTGAAAAATGGATTCCAAGACGTAAACCATTTTCTATCATACTTTTAATAGCCGTAAGTCATGCCTGCAGAGTGGTTTAGAAAGGCTAGTTTAACCTGGCCAGTGAACTTATCTTCTTTTATCTCGAAGTCTAGACTACTGTCTCATGAAGTATGTAATGTTAATTAACTTACATTTGTGAGCCCGTGTTGTAAATTTGAGGTGAACGGGGAATTTGTATGTATTAAAATAATAATAATAATAATAATAAAAAAAAAACTTTTAGTGGTATAGAATATTGTATGTTAGTAATGGTGATAATTTATGAAAGCATGTCTTAACACTAAATATATTTGCTCTTTGTTTTGCCGGAAAAGTGAATGTGAGCATTTTTATGAACTTAAATTTAATACGCCTGAAAGTTAATTATCTAGCTAATTAGTAAATTCTTCGAATTCCTGCAGGATATTTTTTTTATAGAAAATAAAAGTTGTAATATATATTGACATTTTTAAAAGGAATGGTTTTTAATTGTCAACTCTCAAACAGAACACTTGCTGTAAAATAAAAACGCAGACAAATACTGATTTTTCGGATATTCAAAAATTGTGTTTGCTAGTTGCATTTTGGCCCAAATTTGTATCTTTTCTGTGTTTCGGACTTCCTTAAACCCTGCTCTCCATTAATTTCCGTGATAGCATAGTATGCGGAAAATACTGCTCTTGCAGTAAAGTTCACGAATGCAAATCATGCAGCAAACAATCTGCAAGGATACATCCCACAAATTGAAGACTGGTGTCAAATGGAGTGTTTGCATAAACGCGCAGAAGTCCCAACTCTTAATTATTAGACCGACGAAGAAACGGAAACCTGTAAAGGAAAATATTTTCATCTTCAGCGTTCCAGTAGTAAGAGAAGAAAAGTATCTAGGAGTCTTACTAAATGACAAACTCACCTGATCAAAAGCCCACTACGTAATTCACTGCCTCCTTCCATTCATCGGAAGATATTCAAAACTTGGACTTGCAAAAATGAGACACATTTACTTAGCGGTTATCAGACCTATTCTGACTTTTGCCTCCTCGGCATGGGCGGCGGCCGCGGAAAAGGATATCAAGCAACTATTAAGTTATTCAATCCAAAGTGTGGTGATGTATGACAAATGCTCATTACTTTGTCAGTAACGAAATGCTTCGCAATGATCTGAAGATTGAATACACAGACTTACTTGAACAATACAAATGAAAAGTTTTTCTCCAGTACTAAGCGGTGTGAATTCCTCTCTTATTTCAGAACTTTTCATTACGAGCTCCTGAATGAGGACAAGTATCTCAGACCTCTCGCTGCGCATATGTTTGCATATAACCTAAATTTCCCTACGTGACAAGCCTGATTTTAATGTGTTCAGACTCCCGCTGGACTTGTAGCGAAACCCTTAAGACTTGACCTATTAATTTCAGTGACTTTGCTTATGTTTGTATTTACAACCGTGGTACCCAAATAGGAGCTTCTCGTGCAATATCGGACTCCCATTTATCTGGATGCCTGTTTTCTTAGACTTGAATGTAGGTTCTTTTGATGCGCTTCATAGCGCAATTTATAATTTTTGACGAATTTGGACAGGTAATTTGACCAATTTTGACTGAATTTTCACGGAAATAACGCATTCTTGCCCCCTGCTGTTAAAAGATACCTGTCTGCTGTTGCCGATTTTAATTGATCAATCAGTGCACTGTACTCTTCTGACTGTGCCTATCATACGTATACGAAAATTTAACGTTTACTTTCTAACTAATGACTTTTTCATATCTCTCGCGATGTAGGTAAAACTTTTCTACACATTTTGATAGGTTACACTACTAAGCTAATAGAAATCTTAGGATATTAGAAAACATTTTTTGACACATCCGACATTTTGAAAATTTTTTGACACATTTGCTATCACCGACGAATTGTAGCTCCACCCTGATTTGAATTGATTGATCAGAGCACCGCCTCTCACAGACTGCTCCTGCCACAAGAAATCCAAAGACATGACCTACACTATAATCTGAGGACCTTTTACTGATTTCAACGATGTAGATAGGATTTTTCTGTAAATTTTGATAGGTCATTTGTCCTGGTTTCAGCAAATTTTGCTGCCCCCAGCGACAAGATATTCACTATTGGGTTTCCTTCCGACTATGACGTCACAACTCTCCTTGTGTTTATTTAAATAACTGTATATTTTGCGTTTGTAATTTTATTATCAGTGTAACTTGTTTTAGTATTTGCACCACAAGACAAAAGTATGCCATCCCAAAATGAGGGAACGAACGCTGAAGACTACTTTATGCCATTGCTTAGGCCCGTAATGTCTCGCGTCCTCTATTGCACTCTTTATTGCCTTTCTCCTAGAGAATCATCGTTCAAGAAACACTACTGTCATACGCATTGCGGCACTATCCCAAATGAGACGGAACAAGTCGTACCATCTGTTCGATATTTGCGGCTAATCAGCGTAACTTGGAACTTGGAGAAGGTTCAATTTTCGTTCCGTTATTTCCATTAAGGAAATCATCGTAGAAAATTTTTTCTAGTCTCGGAGGACGCGTGTAATAGCAGAGATTGCCATGCCGGAGACAGTTCCAGCTGATAGACGATTTTACGAGGGGCATGGTGATTGGACTGAAAAGGACAGGTTGGTCCATACGGAAAATCTCAGGTGAGAGACACCTGGACGCGTCCACAATGCACCGGCTGAGAGAACGATATTTGGAACAAGGAAATGTGGCAAGTTCGAGGGATCCCGGTGCAGCCAGAGTGACGTCAGGACGCGTTGATCGATGCATCCGCTGACAAGTGGTGGCGCACCCGCAAGCCACTTCTACCTCCATTCTCAAGCATGTTCAGGACACCCTGGATATTTCCATATTGACCAGAACCATTTGCCGTCGATTGGTGGCAAGTGGCCTGCACTCGTGGCGTCCGTTAAGAAGACTGCTATTGACTCCATATCATAGACGCCAACGTCTGCAATGGTGCCGGGCTCGAACGATGTGAACGGCGGAATGGCACTGGGTCGTGTTCTCAGATGAATCACGCTGCTGTTTCTCGAATGATAAACCTTGCCTATAAGTTCAGTTCACCTCTGGTACGTATTACGGGCACTATGACGGGCCAACATGGATGATCGTTGGCCCGTCAGAGTGCCCGGAACACGATACATGGATGTGCTGCGGTCCGTGACACTCCCCTACCTTCTGGGAGTGCCCAGTGCCCTTTATCAGCAGGATAACTCCCGACCACACACTGCTGTCATCAACTAACGTGCCCTGCAAGGTGTAGAGATGCTTCTCTGCCTCTCCTGATATCTCACCAATCGAACACATTTGGGATGTGACTGGACGCCGTTTGCAAACCCTACCATTGCCGCGTTCAGAAGACTAACTGTGGCAATTGGTTGACAGGGAACGGAGAGCCGTTGCTCAGGACACCATCCGTAGTGTCATGAACTCTGTATCTAAACGTGTTGCTTCGTGTATCGCCGTCCAAGGTGGTCCTAAGTACATAACATGTTGCCCCTATGAAGGGATGGACAGTTATAACCATGCCTGCTCCGGGATTCGATCCCTGTCCCATCACTCTTAGAAATACGGAATAAGGGCATATAAATACAAATGCTTTTAAGGTAAAAAAAATAACCATAATTGAATCCTGGTAATTAATGACATTAAAGCTGCACATATATGACTACTACTATTTACTTCATTACGTAATTTATGTACGCAAGGTTTAGAGCACGTTCATTAATCAGTATAATAATTCAGTTCATGCTAGATTTAAATATTTAGAGTAATAAAATAACGAATAAATGCCTAATAAATAAAGAAACGAGGGGCAGCACATACAAAGAATATGTAAATTGTTTTTGTTCAGTCATTTTTACAAAACATTTTTTTTTCGCTGTAATATGTAATTAATTTATTGGAGTTATACTCGTAAATTAAGCTGATATAACTTGAATATCAGTAAGCAGGAAATAAAATTTAAAAAATCGTTTACGGAAGTGATTTCAGACTTTTAAACATTAGTTTGTAAGAAGACTTGTTACATGAATATTTGAATCTTTGAGATACTTGAAGTCCATTGAGCAAATCTTTGGAAGCTAAAACTAGGGTGTAAAAATGTTTTTTCAACTACTTGAGAAAGAATAGCGATTGAGTTTAAGAAGTAGAGGAACAGTTTCTCTGAATGTCTCTAAATAAAATATTGTTATAATGGAACTTTAATTGGAATATTAACATAGATTACGCATACTAGAACGGTAATTTTTTTCACTAGAACTGTGAGTGGTAAAATACACTTAAAAATATTTTCGAAAGTTTATAACGTGTTGTTGTGCATTTTGTAACATTTGTTTGCTCAGCTAAATATTTTAACACTACCATTTATCATCACTTTTTTTTCCTTGACAGGTAATCTTTTATCCTGTGACTGCCACCTTCGTCCTTTGCGGTCATGGTTGAGCAATCAACCTAACTCGACCTCTTGGGATGAAGTCACTTGTTACAGACCTCCGTTATACACCGGACGTTTTTTGACATCTATGGACATTGACGAGTTCGTGTGCAAGGGCGTGGCTTTCGAGCCGGAAAATATCCTGAAGCCGGATATAAAAATTCGCGGCAGTGAAGTTATTAAAGATCATGGTTTGAGAGTGGTGTGGTATGTGGCAACTCGAGAGGATATTGCTGGCTTCAAGGCAACTTTGAGAAATCTCACTGGCACCCTGGTGGCAGAAGAGGAGCTACCTTATAATAAAAGGGAATATATTTTCAGAGATCTAGAACCAAAAGAAATATATCATTTGTGTTTTGTTGCTGTGGATTCTTTAGGAACGGATCGAGAAGCATTCAAATCTCAGTGTACCGATGTTGGACCTGTTGGCAAAGCTGATCGATTGAACATTTCGTTTCACAGTAGCGTTATCTTGCTCTTTTTATGTATGATAGTGACAGTTTTATATTCCTATCTGTGATACTGAATATTGTACGTGAGGAGATGTTTACATGAGTGTTTTTAAAAGATTTATTTCATAAACATATACATGAACTTAAAAATAAAATTTTATTTCTTTGTGATTAAAAATGAATTGTGGATTCAGAAGAAAAATAATTTTATAAATATGGTATTTTTCACTTAAATGTTTGGGTAATTAGCTACTATTAATTCTCTAAATATGTATTGCAGTATATCTGTTTTTTTCTAACGACAGTTATACATCTTAGCTATCAAAATCCTCCTATTCCGAATGACTGAAAACGTGCTTGAAAATATTATTCTGGAAAATTTTAAAAAACTGAGCGTTAAGTACAGCATGCACTCACAGTTTAGTTGAAATGGATGATGTTACAAATTTTGAAACAGTACATTTAGCGTCCTGGAAAGAAACTAAGTTTGATGGTTTTAAAACTTACGTTACACATAAATGAATTATGCCTATTAACAAATTTCAGTGTAAAAATGAGGAGAATTAAATGTAGTATTTATAAACATAAAAACAAATGTTTATGTAGTATTGAAAATAACATCATTCAAATGCTTTCCCCCTTTTTTTCGCACGTATTCTTATTCCATGGTTTGCAAATTCTTTTACGTACAGTGGACCATATCTTAAGAATTACCAAAATTTCCTGACGAACAAAAACTTTCCTTTCAACGTTGCTCAAGAATTAACAAGTAAAATTATTAACAAGTACTTTCTATTGAACTGGGAATCAAATTCCCTGCCAAGTTTCGGACCCATTTTCTTGACTGGAATCTCAAAATGTCCCTGCCACTCTGTACTGGGATTTTTTTTTCTCTATCATTCTTAACAATATAGACATTTTTCGAAACGCATGTATATGTTATAAAGTATTTTCTCCTTCCTTTCTGCATGCCTTTGTGGTGTAGCGGCAGCCAACTCTCGGCGAGTGTTCGAGAGGTCCAGGTTCGATTCCCGGTGAGGGCATTGCTCATTTTTCACGTCTGCTGTCTCAAAAATCGTAATGACTAGGACAAATACTGTACTTATCAAGTTGAAAGCTGAAGAAAATAATCTTAAAAAGAAAAGAACAGGAAATGGAAAAAACCATGACCAGTCATCGTATTAGGGTAATATTCTAGCTGAATTGTATATCTTTTAAATTATTCCGTGGACGGTTTTACGGTATGAAAGATTTTGAGATTCCGTTTGTGGAAATTATAACGCATTGCGTATTTCAGTGTTATTTTATGCTGCATTTTTTTTTTTTTTTTTTTTTTTTTTCATTTGTTGCAAAAGGAAGTCGCGCAATGCAATCAGAATACTCTGCACTTTCATGTTTTAGAAGAAATATGGTCCTAAGGCATCAAAATCCATCCTTTCTATATTAGTTAATTACAGTATAGCATGTTTAAAGGAAAAGGGCGTCATAAAGTAGAAAATCTACTCTCAGACGAGCGTACGAAAATATTCTCCGTTATTCTGTGAAATGAGGAAGGAAGACGCTCTGCAATTACGATTCGGTCTTCATATCATCCCTTCGTAACTGCAGACATATCTTTTTCAAAAGATATTCGATTTTCCTTAACTACCTTGATTTAATACTTACATAGCCACCATTTTTAAGGTGATGAAATTTCAAATGCCGGTACAATGTTCTAAGCACCTTGATGATTTGAAATGCTTGCTTCCTACGTGTCATGCTTCATTCCATCACGATGAAGTTTCTCTTATACTCTCTAATGACTTCATTAATTTCAGACACGCGCACGATTCTCACACAGCCTGGTAATTTGTTATCCTATGCGGAGGCTGTTGATCAGAATAGGATAAGAAAAAATGCATGCAATTTTGATGCAATTTTTACTCCTCTTCAATAAAGCCAACCAAACTCAGTTACTTAATGTCAGTCCTTAGTCATTCATGTTTAAAACAAATTATCTACTGGTAACAATATTGTCTTTCAACATGCAATTTTCTGTTACTTGTTACTTACAATGCATAAAATGTGTATAATAGAGCAATGAGTTTTAAAAGACAGTTGTATAAGCAAAATGTTGTGTGTACTTCATTGCTGTAAAGTAACTGTGTGTTGCTAAAAATCCGCCGAACAAGTAAATATATATACACTATGGTCTAAATTACTGTCGTTTTAAAAGTATTTCTTACAATCTTTGAATTGGGAATCATTACTATTATTTCTCGCTGGATAAGGAAATAAGGGAGAAAAGTTTAGTATTCATAGCCGAATCCAAACTTGTTATAGATCAGGGATATATTTTAGTTTTGGGAACCTACTATGCCATGTGCTTCACATCATGCGATGGAATAAATTTCACCCTTTCAGAGTGAATTTTATCTCCTAAATCCCCCCCCTTAAAATTTCATCCAATGCGCGGGCATACAGTGATGTTTAGAATGGACGTGTTTTAAGACAAATCTTGGAAGCACTAACTGCTAGAAGATAGCAGAGAACAAACAACCTTCTCCTTTTCAGACATAGAACTACTTTATATTTTAGAACAACAACAGGAAACCAGTTAAGTACTTTTAACGTAACATTTAAGTAACGGAGGAACAAGAAGCAAAATGTTTTCATGGTTTAAAGTTGTATTTATCAGGGAAAGACGTCTACAAGCTTTGTTTTCTTTCAGTTCCCCGTATATAAATGGAGTCGTTCCATTCATTAAAACAAAATAATGGTTTTATTCTTAAAAAGGTATTAGATCTTGGTAATCTTGTAGTATGCGATCTATTGCTTTTAGTTATTTATTTTCTAGATGGCGCCACTAAAATTGATTGCAATTTTAATCATTTCTTTTCTGAGTTCATCTTATTGCAATAATTACCTTTTTTTTCCCCTAATGAAGTAGCATCTCTAATAAGGCTCTTTAAACGCATGATCAAATTTATTACATATATGCACATGTCATGTGATTATACAGGATTTTTAATTATGTTTTCATTTACGTAGCAAATATAAGATTAATGCTGGATTCGCTTCATGTAAATACGAACAATCTGGATTTTGTTTTTAAAGTTATTTTTAAGGATGTTATCGAATTTTGAATGAACTCTGTATTTATTCAAGTAAATTTTCATTACGGTATTTTGACTCGAATACCAAGCAAAAATCCATTATCTTTTATAAATGCTTTCTGGAACAAAGCGCCATTAGGGGTTCCAGAACGCCTAGTTGCCAGAAAAAAATGCAACACTGCTTCAACACATGTCTACAAGTCACTTCTACTCTATTACGGGAAATATACGTATTCGACGTGACGCAAGAAGATTTTCAAAAATCTAGGCAATTTCTGTTCATTCATTTCGAATCTACAGGATGTCTGCCAAGCCGTAGTCAATTTCTAATGTCTATAAGCATTGAGGACTATTTGCTTATTAGGTAAGCCCACTAGTGACCGAATGAATAAGATTGCTAAACACTGGTAGCTTGACCTGGTTTCAAAGTCTCAACTAATAGGTCGGCTGTATGGGAGTTTTCATAGATTTCTTTATATGTAACAGGAATATAAGTCGGTTTTCTGTAGAAATTCATTTAGGAAGGCATCCACTTCTTTAGGCAGATAGCCTTACTGTACCTTGTTGTAATCAAATAATTCTATTGAATATGATGTACTATTGAAGGACAATTATAATCGATTGTAATTATCCTGGGTCAATGACAGGTTCCATATCTGCCTTATTTTAATCATCATGATTTGCTTTTGCGAGGATTTATAACAAATGAGAGTCATTTACATCACCTTCAATAATTCCATATTTCTGTAATGCTAATGAACATGCATTGGAAGCAGTCACATATGAAATACTGATCTATGTTAAAGGAAATTTTAAAGTCAAATATCATCATGTTATTATTCACGAAGGGCAAACTTCTTGTTCTTGATACAATTTTTATTCCTCTCTAATACAGCCAACCAAGCTCAATTACTTAATGTCAGTCCTTAGTCATTCATATTTAAAACATAGTACTTATTAGAAAACACCATGTATAATATAGAGTTCGTTTCTTATATTTAAATCATTATGTATTACAAAAACAAAGAAGAAATGTTAAGTAAATAAAATGTTCCAGTAGTCTCCGATACTGATGGATAGACAGTAATAAATAAAATAATATATTTCATAAGTAAGGTCAGAATATAATTACTAGTTGCTTACAGAAGAAACAAAAGTTAATACTTCTTATTTTATTAAATTATGATTTGAATTTGTAATACTTTTTTTTTCAATTTTTCACTTGATTATCTATAGAAATTATAAATTAATGTAACAGTATAAGATATGGTTTATTTATCTCTCTACAAGTTAAAGAATTGGTTAGATTGTACAGAATTTAGCCAAAATGAGTACTATCTAAAACACTTACATAAAAAATATTACTCGTACTTAAATTGTCATTCATGAAAACGAATTTTGAAAAATTTAAAAGAAGTGTTAATAACTTATCTGTCAATGAAATTCTATTAAGTTTAAATAATTTATAATGTCTAAGATATTAATATGGTATATTTTGGACAAATTTTGTGATAAGTAATTTTTGTTTCTCAAATGATATCTCGCATCTGGACATCAAATATGTTAAAAGCTCAACTGAGAGTTTAATTTCAGTTATTTTAATTTTCAGGGGCGGAATAGTAAAGCTTATTTAATGTAATTCGAAAATTGGGTTGAAACCCGGGTGCTTTCATTAATCTGAATGCCAAGAATTTATCATTAGTTTGGAATAAGAACAGCTGTTTTTAATTAGTCTTTAAATAATAAATCTATAAATCTTAGATATTTAGTATCTGCCGAGAAAACGGGTGAGTTATAGCTTCATTCGACATTTGTTTCTAGTAAACTCTCTGATTTTCTAAAATCACTTTTTGAAGCCATTTTAATTTCAGTTTTAACAGATTTATTAAAACTATTCATTCTGAACGACAGAGACAAAAAAAAGGTTCCTATTAACTTTTATTTTCAGAAACATAATTTTGTATACATTACTGTATTTATAAATAATGTCAGAGACAGTTTACATTAAAAATTGTATACCAGTGTAGGTATTTTTGCATAATATGTGTATAGTTAATGTAACTATAATTAATTAATTAATATGATAA